GGGTGATAAATTACTATGTAAAATTGAATTACATTATTGGGGAGATTCTTTGTATCTACATTGCACAATTCGAGACATCATTCGAGTGAAAATTTCTGATGCAGCAGGGTATAACAGTGTGACACAGTTGCAACTATCTGTGAGAATTTTTGTAATTAAACATCAAAACAATAACAATTAAAGTAATATGGTAGGTAAAGAGAAAAAGGAATGATGATATTTGGCCACATTACAGAATTTTTTTATTGATAGTAAGAAATAGGATAGTATCTGTAAGTATATGTAAAAGTAATAAAAACAAGATTGGTTAACCTTAAGTTGAAGCTCTTCTTCAGCCCGCTTTATAGCAAGAGCCTCAGCTTCTTCACGCTGACGTTCTGCAAGCTCGTTCTCAAGACGTTCTGTCTCCAAGCGACGCGCGGCCTCAAGTTCTGCCTTTTTACGAAAAGCTTCGCGCTTCTGCTTCTTAGCCTCTTCTAATTGCCTGATGAAATGAAAAAAATGAAAGCAACTCTATGTGAGATAATAGATGAATCAATATACAAACATTTTAGAGGATCGGAATATATGACCATTCTAAGAGGCATGACATTATACATGAGCAAGAGAGCAAAGTAAAAAAAGAAATAAAAATATGAATAAAGCAATATATTTAACAAATTACATCAGACAGTAACAACATAGATTTTACCATGCAAATCTCATGAGGCCAAAAGTGGTTACCAAAATTAGGACAGCATAGGCCATCTTGAGTATTGTAATCGTTTCTGATATCTTGATCCATTCTTCTAAATAAATATATAATTCCATTGAAATAAATCTGTGCACAAAACCAAACCTTATTTTAACTTGAGTGGAAACCCGCAGCCCTGTATTTATATAGTTTCATCAGATAGAAACCTACTAAGGTAAAGAGAGCCAGATCAGCAAAAGATTTCGATACCATGAACAATGATTCTTTCTAAAAGTAAGTTAGATTGATGATATTTTAATTAAGTACAATTTCATCGAGGCCAACATTCCAAGCAAGAATAATAAGGAGTTAGTGATAATCCCGTCTAACTGCCAAAATATAACAAATTTTGAATAGCTAACAAGGATAGAATTTGTCAAGCTATTCATTTAAATTTGGCCGCGATTTCAAGGAAACTTCTAAGAACTTACCCCGTAGTTATTATGACTTCATCGGAAGTCAGGTCGCTGATAGGATATATTCCGATGTTGAGCACGATGATTGAGGAAATCATAACATTGAAAAAGGATATATCTTTTAAGCCTCGATCAGACAAATTTAGTAAAGCGAAAATAAGGGCCTTACCATTTTGGTGTTCCTATCTACAAGAATAGTAGTTACAAAGAAGTCTATACTTTGTACTCGATGCAAATAACCTGCATGGCTTTAAACAAAGTGAGTCAGTAAAAACATTTCGAAGTAACTAACACAATTGATAAAGTCCATAAGTCGGATAAAATCTTCTTAATATCTGAAGATACAGTCATGCTGACATTTTAATCACACTCCCATCTTTCATTGTATATCTAATGAAGGGCATGTTCAGCTTATATATAAATATAGAACCCTGAGTGTTACAAAGAGGTCATCATAC